CAGGGGTAGCAGCTTGGAGGAGAGCCTTCTCTGTTGCATTGAGGTTTCCTTTTAATCTCAGAGTTGCGGGTTCAATTCCCACATTGGGCAAATATTCCTGCATTGTAGGGGGTTGGCCTAGATAGCCAACATGGTCCATTCCAACTCTAAAATTCTATGATTCTATAATCATGCAGTATAAAAGTTTTTATGGAATAAATAAATACATTTCTCCATCATCACCTCCCTCATTTTGTTCCATCCACCTGGTTTGCCTAATGTCACATGTATCCAGGTGAGTCTGTTTTCCATTTGGGTCATGTTTTTGATTTTTTCTTGCTCCTTTAATTGTGCAGTCAAATTTATTGTCAGCGTGCCAAACATGCAGCCAACCCAGAGCCCTGTGTGAACATTGCTCCTTCTGTCACCACATGAGCAACTTTCTCCATTGCCTTGAATCATGGAGTAGCTCTATACTATTAAGGTAGGGATGAGGGGCCTGTGTGACCCTTCAGATACTGTTCTACTCCAGCCTGGCCAGTAGTCAGGTATGATGGGAGTTCTTGCCCAAAATCAGTTCAAGGGCCACAGGTTCCTCATCCCCATGTAGAAAGAAAGAGTGTGTGGTGGTGTCCTTCTTTTGTAATGAATGGGGAAGCTCTGTGGTTTGTGGAGAAACCACCTGAGCACATCAGAGTTTTTGAGGTGACATTTAATTGCTGGTGTAAGGGACTGGTCTTTGGAAGGATTTCTCAGTGATTCAGTTGTATAATTTGGTTTCTTTTAAAAAAAAGTTCAGAAGGTGGGGTTTACTGCATGGACGTTGATGTTATCAGTATTTTATTATGATCCTTTACATTAGTTTATGTAAGCTGCTCAGATTTTTTAATTCAATGGTATATAAATTGCGATAAATAAATGCATAGTATATAGAACAAGTAATCCCTGCGTAAGTGAATGGGACAGATTACAATCTTATGTTAGGACTTGAGAGACCAGGTTTCAAATCCCCAATGTATTTTTTTTTATATATAATATTTTTTATTGCTTTTTTTCCAAGGTCAAGATACATCATCAATAACACAACAAAAGCGGTTTTACAGAAAAAAAGAAGCGATTGTATACAAGAAAATTCATTTTTCCATATCTTTTTTCATAGTCAACTAGACTTCCCCAGATCTTCCGTCCCTGCTTTCTTTACAATAAAAATAAACAGCAAATTGCAACCTTGTTTCATATGTTTTTGTACTTTCTTCTAATTATATATTCTAAAATTTAAAGCTTTCACAGTCATAACTTAGTTTCCATCATTCTCAAATCTCAATACTGAAGCATGTTCTTCCCAAAAACTTAGCAAATTCTCAACATTCATATAACTTATAGTGTTTTTGTAGATAGTCCTTAAATTTTTTCCAGTCCTCTTCCACTGCCTCTTCTCCCAGGTCTCGGATTCTGCCAGTCATTTCAGCTAATTCCATGTAGTCCATCAGTTGCGTATGCCACTCTTCCAGCGTGGGTAACTCCTGTGCCTTCCAATATTTGGCTATAAGGATTCTTGCTGCTGTCGTTGCATATAAAAAGAAAGTTCTATCTTTCTTTGGTACTCTCTGGCCCACAATGCCCAGGAGGAAGGCCTCTGGTTTCTTATGAAAGGTATACTTATATACCTTTTTCAACTCATTATAAATCATTTCCCAAAAAGCCTTCACCCTCGGGCATGTCCACCAGAGGTGAAAGAATGTTCCTTCAGCCTCCTTACATTTCCAACATTTATTGTCTGACAGATGATATATCTTTGCAAGTTTGACTGGGGTCATGTACCACCGGTATACCATTTTCATAATGTTTTCTTTTAAGGCACTACATGCCGTGAATTTCATACCGGTGGTCCATAACCTTTCCCAGTCTTCGAACATAATGTTGTACCCAATGTCTTGTGCCCATTTTATCATAGCTGATTTAACTGTCTCATCTTGAGTGTTCCATTTAAGCAACAAGTTATACATTCTTGAAAGCACTTTCGTCTTAGGTTCAAGTAGTTCTGTCTCTAGTTTTGATTTTTCCACCTGGAAACCAACTTTTTTGTCCTTTTTAAAGATCTCTAAAATTTGGGCGTAATGAAACCAGTCTCGCACCTTTCCCTTCAACTTTTCAAAGCTCTGCAACCTCCACGTGTCACCAACTCTTTCTATTATCTCAGAGTATTTTGCCCAGCCACCCTCCATGTTAAGTAGTTTTATGGCCTTAGCCTCCATTGGTGATAACCACCTCGGGGTCTTACTTTCAAATAAGTCTTTATATTTAGTCCAGACAATGAATAAAGCTTTCCTAACAATATGGTTTTTGAACAACTTGTGAACTTTTACCTTGTCGTACCACAAGTATGCATGCCACCCAAAAGCATTGTTAAACCCTTCCAGATCTAGGACATCAGTGTTTTCTAATAAAAACCAATCCTTCATCCAGCAGAAGGATGCAGCTTCATAATACAATCTTAAGTCCGGCAGGGCAAATCCCCCTCTTTCCTTTGCATCTGTTAGTATTTTAAATTTTATTCGGGGCTTTTTGCCCTGCCAGACAAACTTCGTGATGTCCCTCTGCCACTTTCCAAAACACTCCACTCTGTCCACGATCTGAAGGGTTTGAAACAGAAACAACATTCTTGGCAATACATTCATCTTGACTGCTGCAATTCTTCCCAACAAGGAAAGTTTCAGTCTTGACCAAGTTTCTAAGTCCTTTTTAATTTCAGACCAACATTTTTCATAATTATCTTTAAACAAATTCAAATTTTTCCCAGTCAAGTTGACCCCCAGGTATTTCACTTTTGTGACCACATTTAGTTCCGTTTCTTTCTGGAACCCCTCTATTTCTGAAGTTGTCAAGTTTTTTGCCAGGACCTTGGTTTTTTGTTTGTTCAGTTTGAATCCCGCCACCCGACCAAACTCAGAGATTAATTCTAAAGCTCTTTTTGTACTAGGTTCTGGCTCCTGTAATGTCAAAACTAAATCATCTGCGAAAGCCTTCAGTTTGTATTGTTTTCCTCCGACCTGTATTCCTTCCACCCGCTGATCCTTCCTAATCAAGTTCAGCAACACCTCCAGGACAGAAATAAATAGCAAGGGTGATAAGGGGCACCCCTGTCGTGTCCCTTTTTCAATTTTGAACTCCTCTGTCACCACATTATTTACTATCAATTTGGCTTTTTGTTCTGAATAGATTGCTTCAATACTATTTTGGAACGCCCTACCCACTCCCATCCCTTCCAAGTTTTTCTTCATAAATTTCCAAGATATATTATCAAAGGCCTTCTCCGCATCTATGAAAATCAAAACTGCTTTCGTATTCACATTTGTCTGTAGTAACTCCAAAACATCAACGATATTCCTGGTGTTGTCAGACAAATGCCTGCCAGGGAGAAAGCCAGCTTGGTCTTTATGAATTACTTCATTTAAAACTTTTTTCAGTCTATTTGCCAAAATATCAGCAAAAATTTTGTAATCCACATTTAGGAGTGAGATGGGTCGGTAGTTCTTAAGTTGAGTCTTTTCAGATTCCAATTTTGGTATCAAAGTGATGAATGCCTCTCTCCACGATTCTGGTGCCCCTTTCCCTTCCATAATTTGGTTACATACCTCCATTAGTGGCTGAACCAAATATTCCTTCAATGTCTTATAGTATTTGGAGGTAAGTCCATCTGGGCCTGGGGATTTGCCTAATTGCATATTCTGAATGGCGCTTTCAATTTCCTGTTGTGTTATTTTGTAATTCAGGGATGTTTGTTTGTCTTGTGTTAGTTTTTGCAGGCCATGGTTTTTTAAGAATTTATTTATCTCGGTATCTACTTGGGGTTCTTGAGTAAACAATTTTTTGAAATATCTCTGGAAACACTTTCTGATTTCCTCTGGTTTCTGAATACATTCTCCTTCAACCTCCAAATTGGTAACAAAGTTCAATTTTTGTCTCTTTTTCAGCTGCCATGCCAGCAGCTTCCCACATTTATTTGCTGATTCAAAAGATCTTTGTTTCATCTGTTTAATTTTCCATTCAACTTCTTGATTTATCAATTTTGTATATTGTGCTTGATGGAATTTTATTTCTCTTAAGACTTCTTTTGATTTTGGATTTAGTCTCAACTTTTTCTCACCGTCTCTTATCTTCTCCAAAATCTTGTCCTTTTTACCATTCCAGAGTTTTTTCTTGATAGTATTCTGTTGTATCAGAAACCCTCTCATAACAGCTTTACTCGCGTCCCAGATTATTTTCTTTTCCACCGAAGTATTCAAATTTATTTCAAAGTAGTCTTTCAACGTTTTTTGGGCCTTCTTCACGATCTCCTGATCTCTAAGCAAAGAGTCATTCATTCTCCATCTGAAGGATCCAGCTGGTGTAAGTCTCAAGTCTATTTTCAAGGCGTTATGGTCGGAGCAGGTTTTAGGGCAGATCTCTATTTTTTTAGTCTTAGGGGCCAGTCCTCTAGACATCCAGATTTGGTCGATTCTTGTCCAGGATAGGTGGGCCTCAGAAAAGAATGTTCCTTCTTTACCCAGAGGATTCTTTGTCCTCCACATATCAATCAAATCCATATTGTCTGTAAGTTCAAAGAAAGTCTTTGGAAGTCTGCCATCTTTGGTCAAATTCTGATTTTGTGACTTATCCATATATGTGGAGACGACTCCATTCATATCACCCATCAAAATGATGTTAGTATAGTCAATATAGTCCAACATTGTCTCATGCAGCTTCTTATAGAATTCCGATTTCCCATCATTTGGTGCGTAGATTCCTACAATCAAAAATTTTTCTCCTTGTACTTGAATTTCAATCGCCAAAATTCTTCCTTGTTCATCTTTAAAAATCAATTTTGGTACTAGGGTCTCCTTTGCATAAATCACTACTCCTCTTTTTTTAACCTTGTCTGATGAGATAAATTCTTGGCCTAGTCTCTTGTTGGTTAACACTCTCCTGTGGAGCCTAGTCACATGTGTTTCTTGAAGGCAAATGATGTCTAGTTGTTCTTTTCTCAAAATATGGAAAATCTTTTTCCTTTTTTCAGGAGAATTTGCGCCATTAATGTTCCAACTGAGAAGCTGCAGAGACATCTCGGACCAGTTATTGGCCTGTTGGGGTGTCTCCTTTTTCGTTTTTGTCTGGAGGTGGAGCCGGGTTCAGTCCAAACGAAGGAGGTGGCCAGACACCTGCTATTCCTTTCCGAAGGTCCTCCCCGTGGTCTTTTAGGAACTTTTCTTGCTCCTCTGCTGTTCTGATTCTTACCTTCTCCCCTTTCAAAGTAAAAGATAGTCCTTGAGGGAATTCCCACCTGTAGGGGATTGTGTTGTTCCTCAATAAAGTTGCTAGGTCTTTATATGTAGCTCTTAAATCCAGTAGCTGTTTTGGTATATCTCTGAAGATTTCTGCCTTTTTTCCCTGAATCACCAATGAGTTTTTAAAATGCAAGCCGAGTATGTTTTCTTTTTCTTGCCTAGATCTCAGAATGATCAGGCAATCTCTTGGTTTATCCTTCTTAGCCACTCTTCCTAATCTGAAAGCGGTGACAATTTTAAAGTCTTTCTCTTCTGCCAGACCCCAGAATTTAGCTATTTCTGTTGTCAAAAAGCCAATCAGGTCCTCTTTTTCTAATTCTGGGATGTTTCTAATTCTGAGATTATTTTCCCTATTTTTCAGTTCTGCAAGGGACAGGTACACTTGTTGTTCAGAAACCTGTCTACTCAGTGGTCTAACTTCCCCTCTTAATTCTGTAGCCTTATTGGAGTTCACCGATTGGGTCTGCGTTGCTCCGGGACAGGAGGAAGGAAGTCAAAATGACACCGAGGTTGGTTCAAAGAAAGAGTTTATTCTGCTCTCCGGATAGCAGAAGGCACCTGCGTGGTGAGTCCACAGCAAGTCCAAAGAAATGACAAGTTTCATGCAGTATATATACCCTCCAGGCACCCTCTCCCTCCTTCCAACCACGTCAGCTTGTATACGTAGGTTGACATCACATATGTTCCTGCTCCGGCACTCTTAACCATAAGAGGGATTTCCTTCCTGCACTCCTGACCATAAAAGGATATTCCTGTTCCTACTCCTATCTTGGAGCAAGAGGTCACTACTTCCGAGAACATGCTCTGGCGTTAGTCCCAGACTTGGGTCTCTGCGTCATTTGTGGTCAGAACATAAGATATGTCTGTGTCTGTTCTGCTGGTAAAGTCAAGGCCAGTCTTGCCGTCAAACTGATAAGGGAGAGAGCTGTGTTCTTGTTTTGCATTTGCTCAACGGCTAAAGTTTATGCGTTTTAGCTAAGGAGAAATGGGGATTTTGGTGCAGTTTAAAAACTGCCTGCACAGTCAGTTTTGGGTTTTGGAAACCCATTCCTTCATTCCCTACTCTTCTTTTGGACAGCCTTTCGGCTCGTCCCAAGGTACTGGCTGGTATTCTCGTGTCACTGCTATAATCTGGGGCCGAATCATTCGTGACATCATTTTACGCATCATATTTTGCAAGCATTGCATTAAGCAGTGTATACAGGAGCAGAAAAGAAGCAAGATTAGTCCATTAACATCATTACAAGTCCTCTAAGCCACCCAAGGTTCAGAAGCCACTCAGTCAACCAAGACATGTCCCATCCGTTCCAGGTTGGGACAGGAACATGGGCTACTTTCTCTCTGTTGCCAGGTGTCGAATAGCTACACCATGGTCAGAGATGTTAAAGCCACAGGCTCCTTCTGTCAATTTTAACGCAGCCCAAAATCCGGCGGAAGCCAAAATCGGGGCCGTAACTGAGGACTCATTCCAAGGCACAGGGAGGAGGGGTACTCCTCCCAAAGCATCTGTAGGTCACAGAGTGTGAGAGGTTCCGGGTGCAGACTGTGCAATTGGTTCGGTTTTGCAGAATAGGCTTCCATTTCTGCGTGTTGCGGGCACCCCATTCTCTTATTAGCCTTAAGTGGTTACCTCAAGCAGTGTGGGCGCAGCGATGGCCAGAAATTAGAAGACTACCATCCTGGCTAAAACCATGTCCCCCCACAGCCCTACCTGCATCATTAGGGCACAGGGATATATCTATTTCCTAATACCTTCTTTTTCTAACACCTGGGGTACCTCCCACAAAGCTATATACAAAGCTATATATTCAAAGGGAAAGAAAAGAAAATGTCCTCTTTTAGTCCACGCTGGATTCTTCTTTTGCCGTGCGTAAGTGGCACCAGCAGGGCGGTCGTCTGGTGGGCACCGAGCCGATGCGGTGAGGAGAAGCGTGAGGCAGCGTCTGTAGGGTGAGTCGAAGGGGTTGGTGTAGATCAATCATAGCAGTCCAATCTGATACTGCCTGGGGTTTGCTTCATCCTTCAAATCAGGCCTGCTGGAATATATGCAGTCAGGTGTTGGAGGCCCATTCTCTCCCATAGGTGGCAGCGTAACCGGGTTAAGAGCCTCAGTAACTCGAAGCTGCAACTGTGGGTGCATGAGCAGTGCTTGGCAAAGGGGGATAGAAAAATAAGTTCCTTTCATGTCCAACAATGCTGGCACAGCGTGAGGAGTGACGCACGTGGTTTCCTGTCCAAAGGTGAACTTGTCAGCTTTTGTAATCAGAGTGGCAGCAGTCACTGCTGTTCGCATGCAGGGAGGCAAACCTTGCTTCGTAGTGGTTAATTTTTCAGACAAATAGGCTATGGGTTGGTCATCATCAGGGTCTAACAATTACCTTGATAGAATTACCTTGATAAAAAAACATATTTCGCCATGTGCAAATGGCTTTGGATACCTACTAGGTCCACAAATCACCATATAGCATATATTCAATACACACACAAAAACGACAATTTGAGCCCAACAAAGGACTGCTGGACATCCAAAGGGCCCCATTACCCCATTAATGCCTTCAGTTTCTTCAGCCAGTTCCCATCCCTGTACTCTGCTGCCCTCAGGACCAAAGGCGCTACACCCACTTTATCGCTATATGATCTTATATCCTGAAGCACCCTTTTGTACTGTCCTTTTGCCCACTTCACCTCCTTTTCTTAGGTCCTTTCTAAATTCTTCAGTCCCAACATCATCATCATCATTATTTTTTCCCTTCTCATCCCCCCTCTCTCTCTTTTTGACACTGACACAAGGATGAAGTATGTTAACAAGGTGACACAGGTGATGATCTGGCATCTGAAATCATTCATACAAACAGAAAGCTTAAAAACACACACAAAAAAACATGTACCAGATGCTGGCTCTCTTCTCCAGGGTTAAATGTGATTGTAGCATATACACACAAATTGCAAGCAGAAATTAAATCACAAAAGAATGAGATTTTCTCGGAGGGTAGCATATTACCGTGATTATCCTACCTTTGCCTCTTAAGATATGCTTCTGTTTAAATTCTTTCTGCAGATTCTGTTGGGCTGCATTTGAAAGTTGATTGACCTTTTGAATAAACTATAGGACAGTCCTTCCTAGTTTTCCCCAATTATTATTTTATTTTCTCTGCAAATAATTTAATCCTTGATATACATATTCACGTGCTTAATTGACTTGGGACAGTAGTTCATTTAGAATTATGGTACAACAATAAGTTAAGTGCTACCTGCTGTATGGCTGAATTTTCTTATAAGAAGACATCTGATGACAGTCAGAAAGGGTATTCCTATTAAACAGGAGGAGTAAGCAACTCATGCTGACTAAATATAAACTCATTTCTGCATCTGTATATTACACACAGAAGGAGACAGAGTGTAACTCAACTCTTTAACACCATTTTTTTTTTTTTGGCATATCTAGTTAATTCAATCCTATGTAGAGCAGATGGGGGGGGTGAGAGAGCAGGTACCAAGCAAGACACTGTTTAGGGGAAAGGTTCCTGCTTGTTCTTTTTCATAATGTGAAACTAAATATCTGACCTAGAGCACTAGGAACATTTTAGGGAACACCACCACGTCGGAGAAGGCTACGAAAGCATATGACATCAGCAGCCCTGATAAGAAGTGCCTGATAACTTTCATATTTGAAACCACAAAGAAAGGCACAAACCACACACGAACGAATACAGACAGTGGGGCTTCTTGCTTGGTGTGTGTTATTTGCGTTATGAATTAAGGTCCCAGTTTCCCAATACACACAATTGCTATTTCACCCCAACACTCTTCCTAAATGGATTCACACATTCATGCGTTCAGTTGGGCCAGTGTTCACATCATTCTGTTTTACTTAGCATTTTGGTTTGAAAACCCAAGTTCCACTTTCTCTGCACTTCCTGCAAGATTGTATAGTTGAAGGAAAGAGCCTCTAATAGAGCTTTTGTTTGCTCTTGAAGCTGTAGATATTATTAACACACAAATATTGGATTGGATCTACCCACTAGTCCTCTAGTGGGGGGGGTAATTGTATCAATAAGCATTGAGGTATTTGTCTATCAACATCTTGATTCTGCTGTCACTAATGCATTTGACAACTTTGGAGGTTCAATCAACACAAAGAGCTTCAATATCTCCCTTTCTAATATAAGATGTTTGTTTTGGAACACTTTCCACAGCCTAATGTAAACAGGGAAATAAAAATTATTTTGCCTAAGACCTCTCCTGGCATGTACACTCAGAGCCATCTCAATTTTCAATTAATAGATGTCCAGTGAGTATCTTTCATGGGAGGGACATACTAAAAAGAGCACAAATAATATTCCAGGTCCCTACTCTTGCTGTTAATTTATGGATGGTTAGCTGTCCAGCCAGCCAAAAATAGGGCTGCTCCATAATATTCTTAATTCTTAATTCAGAATTCTTTAAAAGCTGGTTTTTACTCATGAAAACCTCAACCAATAATCTGAGTGCATTTTAACAGCACATGCAAGACTTTGACTAAGTGTGTCGCTGGTCACACACAGCCTTTTTGCAATTCAGCTTTTACTATATTTAGTAAACTCTCTCAATAATAGCATCAATATATTACTTTCATTAATACTCATCAGCATAAACACTCAATTGTCTTTACAACCCATTACCCAACCTTTCTCCTGTTCCAACATTCTCACTTCTCTACCCTCTACCTCTCACCTTTTCTACTTCCCTCTACCTTCTCCAGCCCAGACCACTACTTCACCTTCATACAATTGTTCATCCCTTTTACAAATAAAAATATTATACACATTTCAAAAATATAAAGGTAGTGCAAAAATCAATTCTGGTTGAATTTAAATATCGCTATGCAATATTTGGTAATTTGTAATTTTCCTTAGTGTTCTCTGGCCCCATTTTAACCTGGTTTCCAGACTCCACCAAGGGCTGCATAGCGTCTTTGTTTCTGTGTTAAACACAGACACTGCAAGGGGGATGATTTACTGCTTTGTCCCCGTAACCCTCTTACTTCTCTTCTCATCTGTCTGAACATGGGATGGGGGGGTTAAAACCCCATCCCTTTTGACAACACTACCTTTTCCATACATTTGTACATTTTTACTTTTGATCAACATTTAACAAGTGGTTTCTAAATCACCCAGGGTACCTTATGCAACAGAGTCAATAAGAAACAAACCTATTAACACAAACATTAAGATACCAGGTAGCTCAAAGCACAGTGAATTGATGACATTCAAATTCTGAAACCAGTACATGATTACATGATTGTATTAGTAATTGAAACCTTCCCACCTTTAACATGAAAACACAAAACTTGACCTCATGAGCAACTCATGTCACTTTTAATGTTAAAGACCAAATAATCCTTTTTTATACTTGTACTCTGCAAGATTCTAGGTGTTTTAAGGTCTGTTTCCCAATCCCCTAACATGCAGCACAGTGAATGTGGCAGAATTGAGAACCCCTTTATGCAGGGTTCTATTCCTGGCGCGCCTCTGCAGAGCACATATCTTTTTTTTTTTTCCCGGACCCCACGTGTTGGCAATACAATACAAGCCAACTGGACGCACCTATGCTGGTCACTGCCAGAATACAGAAAGGAGCTTAAAGGGGTTTTTTCAACTGCAGCTTGACATTTCCAATTGTCCAAAAAGAACAAACACTGCAAAGGGGTTAGTTTGCTGTTTGTTGGTTTTGTTTTTTTCCCCCATAGCCCTGAGACACTCCGTCCACCTAGGGTTGTTTCTCACCCAGTCACCTTTCTCCGCGTCCTCTTAGTGGCCTAGACGGACTCGCGTCGCTAGGAACCACACCTTACAAGGACCACACTTCGCTTCGTCAGTGGCTCTGAGCCCCAACGGCTCATCCACTCAAAACATTCACTGGAGTGTCCCCATACACAAATAAATACACACACATACAAACCCCATGCACCTCCCCAATCCCCTTTACCCATAAACTTCCCAAAGCCGGTGGCACTTTACTGCTCTTCTACCGGCAAACCAGTGGCACACTACTGCTCACTACTGGTTGAACCCAGCGGCACCCTACTGCTCCTACTGGGCGGGGCTGATCAAACCCCTGACTCCCACAAAACAAGCTGTGGAGCCTACCTTACCCTTCCCTTGGGCACCCTTTTCCCCGTGCAGCTGCTGTCTCTTTCTTCCGTCTCTGCTGCATCTCCACTCAGGTACGGGGTGGGGGCTCCCCCTAGAAATGGCAGGGTGCGCGCTTGGAGCCACCGACGCCGACCGAGCTGTTTGCTTCGCAGTGACGCCTCGGTCCTTTGTCCTGTCCTCGGAGAACGCGGATTCCCGGCCAATGCACCAAGAAATGTAGCCTTATTGGAGTTCACCGATTGGGTCTGCGTTGCTCCGGGACAGGAGGAAGGAAGTCAAAATGACACTGAGGTTGGTTCAAAGAAAGAGTTTATTCTGCTCTCCGGATAGCAGAAGGCACCTGCGTGGTGAGTCCACAGCAAGTCCAAAGAAATGACAAGTTTCATGCAGTATATATACCCTCCAGGCACCCTCTCCCTCCTTCCAACCACGTCAGCTTGTATACGTAGGTTGACATCACATATGTTCCTGCTCCGGCACTCTTAACCATAAGAGGGATTTCCTTCCTGCACTCCTGACCATAAAAGGATATTCCTGTTCCTACTCCTATCTTGGAGCAAGAGGTCACTACTTCCGAGAACATGCTCTGGCGTTAGTCCCAGACTTGGGTCTCTGCGTCATTTGTGGTCAGAACATAAGATATGTCTGTGTCTGTTCTGCTGGTAAAGTCAAGGCCAGTCTTGCCGTCAAACTGATAAGGGAGAGAGCTGTGTTCTTGTTTTGCATTTGCTCAACGGCTAAAGTTTATGCGTTTTAGCTAAGGAGAAATGGGGATTTTGGTGCAGTTTAAAAACTGCCTGCACAGTCAGTTTTGGGTTTTGGAAACCCATTCCTTCATTTCCTCTATCCTCTTTTTGTTTTCGTCTGCTTTTGTATTTACTTCCTCGACTAGTTTTCGATTTTCTGTTGTAGACTTTTCAATGTTACCTATTGCCTGTGTATTTTTAGTGACTTGGTCTGTCAATTTATTAATTGAGGCTGTCACCTGGTCAAATTTAGCAGCTTGTTCATCAAACCTAGCTGCTTGTTCGTCAGCTTTCTTATTCAGTGCTGCCAACTGCTCCAATATTTCTTTAGAGACAGGATCTAGCCCTCCAGCAGCCATCTCTCCAAGAGTAGGCTGTATAGATTGTCCTTCCTGCAGACCTGTCAAAATTGGAACAGATGATCTGCGTAACTGCACAGGCAAAGTTGATTGTAAAAGTTCCGTTTGTTTTGCTTTCTTTCCAGCCCTTGTTTTTGCTGAACCACTCATTCCACAGCTGTCCCAGTGTCAAGGTCAAATTGTAAATCCCATGGGAAAAGCAATCCCAAAGAAAGTAAACATCCAGATAGAAAAAATTCCAAGACCAGTAGCAGTTCTCAGAGACTAATAATTCCACAATCCAGCAGGGGGAGCTCCCCAGAAATTAGGGAGAAGGATAGGAAATTTCCACCATTAAGTTCCCACAACCACACAAAAAAAAAATTATCCAAAGCAGGGGGGGAACCCTTCACATTCAGTTTAAACTGCAGAGAATAAAAGTTCTTTGCCGAGGTGCATGCAACAGTTCCTTTTTGCAATTTACAAAGTAGCCCAATGTAACTTAATAATTTTATCTACAGTTACCGCAGTCCGATGTTACTTGTATCTGATCAGACCGAGAGCAGGGTTTCAAAACTTTGTAATCCACATGGGAATAGAAAGAGGATCACAGTCTTTGCTCACTTATAAAACTGTTATGTCCTTTCTTTAACTTTTAATCAATCAAAGCCGAATTTGCAGAGTACATTCCAACTCCTTTTAAGTTCCTTTCAGCGCTTCAACTTTAAAGGGACTTTGCTCGATACTTTAAACAGAGCGGAAGACTGACTTCCTTTTTAGCGTCTCCCGCTTTCAGCCAAAATTCGCCAAATTAAGTTCAGTTAAAGCCTCAGGTTTCTTACTCACGAGTAGATTGTTTCAATTCTGTTGTTCAAAGAAGAAAGGTCAGCGCCGATCAGCAGCAGCCGCGCGGCTTCACTTCCGCGGAAAGAGCGATGGATTCACAGCACCGCTACCCCCTCCACGTTCCAAGGCCCCTTACGGGGTCTCTTCTGCGTTTCCGAGGTCGCTTCTGGTGCCCGCCGAACCCCACGGCCACGGGCTCACTCTACCCGTGGTTTCTCTTAGTGGGTCGTCGCTGTGCCGCAGCGCACGACCCTTTTCCGCGGAGCTCCTCTTCAGCAGCTGAAGAGGACCGCCATTGCTGAACGCGCCGCCTCCGGAAGTCTCAAATCCCCAATGTAGACAGGAAAGTCACTGGGTGACATTGGACCTCTCAATCTAACCTCACAGGGTTGTTGTGGAGATAAAATGCGGAAGGATAGAGCGATGTAGAGAGTTCCTTGAAGGAAAGATGGCATATCAATGTAATAAATAAACAGGCAATTGAATCCTAGACTCAACACAAAGCACATCTCTGGAGAACTTTGACACATATTTAACGAAAATCGCATTTATATGCGCATCATGGATATAAAATAATATCCATTGTGATCTCACACTTCCCTCTCTGTGAGTTTTCTCTGTTTTTTGTTCACTTCCAATGGCAATCTGGTCACAAACAAAAAAGGCAGAACTACACTGCTGTGTTCCAACATTTGAGACACAAACCCTAAACCTAATGTTGAACTATTAATATCTGTAACTGCCCTTGCCTCAGATGCATATTTTAGGTAAATCCAACTCAAGAATGTCAGTTATGACCACATTTTCTGCCAAGAACACATGGACTATAGGATAAAGAGCTTTATTTTCTTTATAAGGGAAAAGAGGTACCAGAGAATCTATTTGAATTAAGTTGGGCCACATTTTTATTAGATGTAATCCCAGAAACGTTGAGCCTAATGCAAGCAATCGCCACACTGGTGGCAATTCGGCTCAGCCCAGCTTAATCACTTTGAGGCAGGTGGACTGTCTTCCATCCTCCATTAATCTATCAAGCCTTTTTGAGCAGCACAACAAGGAAGGCTCCATTCCGATCTAATTACCCAGGGCTGGGTTTTGGCACTCTGTAAACATCCTACACAAGAATAGATAGCCAATATCTTAGCAAGGTTGCATGCCATTTGGACAAATAGGGCTTTTATCAAGAGCTAGACCATTGTGGGCTAACAACAGGATATTCTCTCTACCTGGAGTGATCCCATTAGATAGTGGGGTGAATTGGGTGGCATCTCCCCTTGACCCAGCCCATCCTCACAGAGGGTAGTAAGAATGCTCGCTCTCTCCCTCTCTCCCCTCTCTCCCTCTCTCTCTCTCTCTCTCCACCTTTTCACCATTTACAGTGTCTCTAGATGCCCAATGAGGAGATAGCATTCCATATGGCCTGTGTGCTCATAATACAATTCCAACCCAAACATTGGGTTTTATGGCAAAGAGCATACTAGACTGTTACACCGCCACAGGGATGTGTGTGTTATCAGAGAGATAGGGAAGGCAGGCATGCTCTCTCTCTCTCTCTCTCTCTCTCTCTCTCTGCATAGTGGCAATTATTGAAGGTTTGTGGGTTACAAAGTAACGAATACTGCACTGTGCTCTGTACTATGCCACCCAAATATTTTTAGTGCTATTGCTTCCTGGAGCAGGAACATTACTTTGTTTGTGCATTGATAATATATGCAAAAAAAGTGAGATAGCTTTCTTACCGTACAGAGTCAGTAGATCAGCAAAGGCAAAGTCTCTCCTTTGAAAAAGACTTAAAGTGTACGTGGTTAAAAGATGCTTCTTTCCAGTAGTTAAGTTTTCTGAAGGTATACTTCATTTTATTACCCAGCGTTTTAAAACAAGGGTAGAAATTCCTTTGCTTTTAAACACACATTAGGTTACAGACAAAACAGCCTTCCTCACAATTCTCTTTTTTCGGTAGAGTGATTTGTCTCATGAGAAATTTATGGGCAATTATAATTACAGGCCCAAATATGGATCAGGTTTCCAAAACCTTTCAATTCCAAGATCCACTGATCAAAGAGAGGATGATCAACCTGTTAATGAAGCGCTTTCAGTGGGGAATGATTAACATGAGGAACAACTTGAATTCTGATGAGAAGAAGTTACAGTATTATAGGATCTTGCTAAACTTCCAAAGATTTCTTTTTTCCCAGACGTAGCAGGATGTTAAACAAGAAATGCATGTAGCATATGTTGAACACAAATGGGGCTGGGGGCTAGGAAATGTACATAGTGCTGAGATATGGAAAAAACAAGATATAGAGCAGATCCTCAACATACTTTTAAAGCATATCCAATGCATATGACTTCTCCCAAAGAACCCTAGAACTGTTGTTCCCCCCTCACAATTCCCAGTGCCCTTAACAAACTACAGTTCCCAGGATTCCATGGGGAAAGCTATGTGATTTAAACATGTGCTGAATGTGCTTTCGGTGGTGTGGATCTGCCATATTCAACAGAGACTCAACTGAGAGCCAAAGGCCCACTTTAAAATGGACACCATCAGTCCCATCATTGGATTCAATATGGCGGTGTTGTCAATGGGTATTTGCCTTCTTCATGAAACGGATACTTGATTCATGGATGTTGCTGCCACAATATGTAGTGGTCATCAATGTAGATGACTTTAAAAGATAATTAGACAAACTGGAGGATAAGGCTATCAATGCCGGCTAGTCATGATGGCTGTATGCCACCGCCAGGATCAGAGGCACCATCCCTCTGAATGCCAGTCACTGGGGGGAAATAGCAGGAGGGTGCTATTGTCCTCATGGCCTCCTTGTGAACTTCTCATGGGCATATGGATGGTTGCTGTTGAGGAGCAGAGTGAAGGATTAGCAACTCTGGTCTGAAGGGCTCCTCTTCTGTTCTTACATCTGGAGGATTCCATAAATTAGACCTAGATAACTATATCTGTATTTTCTTCTTTAGAAAGCACCTTACAAGTCCACCAAAAATATGACCCAAATATGCATCCCTTTTCAATGAAGTCCAGTGTGCACTTGCTCTTTCCACTAGGAGGGCTGTTTGCTATTGTATTCAAAGCGAATGTGGGAGTTACTTCTCAACAAGAAATTTTGATGGCAGATAAAAATGTTTTGATGACCAGGAGATCACCATATCCTTCATATTACTATTTTCCTGTGGCTCTAATTTCCTTTAGCTGCTCACAGAGCCTTTGCTTTTATTTGTAGGTAGTTCTAGAACTGAGACACATTCTTGTCCCTTTCTTACTACTATCAATCCAGAAAAGGTTAAGAATCAATCAAAACACGAATGCCCCTTTCTCCAGGCTCCATTTATTTAGTCATGTGTCCTAATCTCATGAATGCTCACACTCTTTGCACATGGCTCATGCTCGAGACTGGAGCGCTGTAATGGTTTTACCTGTGCTTGGGGCGACTTTCACTTAGCACCTTTTTTGCTCTTTTCTTTGCCTCCATTTTGCAGCATATCGTAGGCAATAATTAAGATCTAATGTCTGTGGAGAAGGGCATTTCCTGAGGATTAGTGGCCAGCTGGGAAGAAGATGATGTCCTGAGGTGCAGCTGTGGGTTGTAAACCCCCAGCTGGCCATTAATCCAGAGGAAGTATACTGGGCTGGGTTTACTAGTGGCCCAACATGGTTTTTTGCAATCGCTTTGCTGTTCGGATTTGCCATTTCCTTCCACAGACCAGAACACATGACAACATTGCTGTTTCTTTTCTTTCTGGCCAACCAGGAAGCATGCTGACCATTATTGCCCAGGACTTCATTGCCTTCGCACTCTCTCTGCATTAACATATACCACTATTTCAAAGTTTTTGCTATGAGTGAAATTGTAAAATAGAATAGGGTGGGAAAGTGTTTGTTCCACTCCATAGTATTATATTGGAGGGTTGTTATGGTTTTTAAAAATCTGACTTTTTAAAAGTGCAATGGCTAGATGACTCTACCCTCTGGATTCCAGTATGAACATCACGACTAGTGGGAGACCAACCTGGCTCCATCCATTAACAGGTGCTCCAGTGTTTGCTTTCCTCTTCCAGCCCTTTCCTTTTCCCTTTTGGGTCATGTCTTCTGCTGTTTGACCTGCAGGAAGGGACTGTCTTATCTTTTAATATATGTACACTGTTTTTTTAAAAAAGTTTAGGTATTTTATAAGTGAATAAATCTTGATGCAGTGTATCATCACCACCACCATTTTCTTGGCTTTACTTTAGCTTTATTTTGGCTTTATTTTATTTTATCTCCAAAACAAGTCTCTCCCATATTGGTCTCTACAGCCACAGCAGCCGCCGTAACCTTCCAACAGCTTGACTTCACCCTCATAGGTGCATTCCTCTATTGTCTCCCAAGACAGACGGGTGCCAAGCATTTTAGGTCTGACAATTGAAAGGGTCCAGAGACATTTCTAGCATCCGTAGGATTGCAGCCTTGTTTCCTAGGTTTGTAAGCTGTGGGTGGAGGCAGGCTTTGTAGCCTTCCCCATTAAGCTCTCTCTGTTTAAATTTACCTCCCTCACTTTTGAAGCTATGCAACATTCCCCCAGCATCTTTCTATGGAACAACTGTACAAAGAGGAAAGCCCATCTCCACTAGCTTCTACCCATTTTCTATGTTTAATTATATTTAGCATCTGCTGCAATATGTGGGTTGGAGGAAATCATAATAAATGAAAGACTTGTGGAACTAATGTAGTTCCATCCTTAGTAGTCGAAGCTGGAGTTCACTTTAATAGGAATCAGGCATACAGTATTACTGTATTAGAGAACTAGATCCAGTTTTCACAGGTTTGCTGACTTCTTAACCAGCCCCTTTCAGTTGTGCCTGTATCAGCGAGTTGATTTTCGGCAATGACCAGCCAATAAGAGGGTTGGTCCAAGGCATTTGATTGTTTGAGGCAGAATAGCAGATAGCAGGCCTCCCCAAGTCAAGGTGCACAGCACTGAAGATGAACCAAAATGAGACAAAATGCCTCACAAG